CTTGTTATTATACTAGGTTACAGTTGTTAAATAATTATGAACAGTTTCATAAAATTGAATTAAAGTTGGTGAGGTATCAGTGAATAAAATTCTGTTTGCACCCCTATGAGAATAAATTCATGTTTAGACCGTTTTTTATGGATTTCCTAACTAACTTTTATACAAATTGGCATTTAACCAGCGTAAAGTTATTAAATAATTATTCAGGGTTTCATCATATTCGCGTGAATAGTCGGTGGTTATCAGAGAAGAATTGATGTTTTAGCCCTTTTTTATGAGAGACTCTCGGCTCGAAGACCCCGTGGTCGTGGGTTCAATTCCCGCCGTCGCCTCTGGCTTTTTTTTCACGATACCCTTCCCCCCAAAACGAATAAGCATAACATATTGTCTGGCGTTGGCTAATATGAATGGATGAATGAATGAATGAATAAAGGCTTTATTTACACAAAGTATTTACATTAACTTTACTTTTCCAAAGAAAAAGCTAAATTGACAATGGCCTTAACCGTCTGTCGAGTTGCTTTATCAATTTTTGTATCTTTAGAATGAACTTCAAATTCACTAATTTCGTGGTCCGCTTGACCAATTAAATCATTACATTTAATTAAGGTTTTAAGTTGAGATGAAAAGAAGTTAATGGCACGAGCGGGATTCGAACCCACGACACACCCATTCATTGTCCATTGTCATTCCGTGGCCATTTCAATTGTCGTCGAGAATCCAAACCGATTACACGACATTTGAAAAATGGCAAAAAGGAGGGAAAACTCATAAGGTGGGGATGAGATGGGAAGTTGATGTCCGAGTGGATCGAGGTCACGATAGCTCAAGTGGTAGATCAGCGGCGTATCTAGCCGAAGATCGTGGGTTCGAATCCCGCTCGTGCCATTAACTTTTTTTCATCTCAACTAAAAACCTTAATTCATTGTTTAGAATGAACTTTGATTTTAAAAACTGAATTGGTCAACCAGGTATTTTCGGTACCGCAGGGCGTGAGTGAGCTACACCACAAGCTTCCTCCAGTTATCCCTTCCGTTGAAGATTGCAGACTTCTTCTACATCCAGCTTCAGTTTCCCAATGTACCTTTGGCGGAACTCTCTCAGAACGGAGCACACTCCCATGAAGTGGAGAGTGTCCTCCGGGACGTTGAGGTTACATAAGGAGCAAATGATGGCGCGGTCCTGTCTCCACGATGGGCAGTTCAGCTGAAGTAATTCACCCCTCCCCTCAAGACCAGAGACACCTCTGTCATATCAGAGCACTCCAAGTAGTTTCGCCCTAAGTGAAAATCCAGTCTTGCGTACAAGTTGTGCTGTAAGCTGTTTCTCGCGCGGGTTACCAGGTCTTTTCTTTTGCTCCCCTCCCATTTTTTTATCATGTCCAGTGGTATTAGAGGACTTCAGTTCTTCCCTACTTACTCCTACACCGTACAGCCTATCTAACTCTGACAGCTGCTTGTGCCATAATATGCCTTTATTTATTACTACGTCGGCCAAAAACTGCGTCAGTCTGTCAGTTGTGTGATTCAGTATTTTCCTTATATATTTCAAATGCAGGCTCAAAGTGTGACTGTAGAGTGGTGTGACCGGGCACTCAATATATAGGATGTAGTCTGAGTTGATGAAGTATTTCTGTACATTTTCTATTTCCTTCAGTTGGCTAATATGCACAGTACATAAAGCCATTAAAAAAAACTTTTTTTGATGGAATTCCTTTTACCCAGTTAGAAAAAAATTGGCATTATATCAGGTACAATTGTTGAATAATTATATGGAGTTTCATCATATTCAGTAGAATAATTGGTGAAATTTCGGGGAATAAATGTTCTGATAGCTCCACTAAGACAATAATCGTTCTTTTTATGGAATTTCTTTTACCGAAAAAAGACATAAATTCGGCATTTTACCAGTTGTTAAATACCTATGCAAAGTTTCATCAAATTCAGTTCAAAAGGTCGTGAAATATCAGAGTATATGTGGGCCGATGCAATGACACAGGAATTGTACAGACCCTAAGTTTACAATTTATATTTAATCATATTTAAATTACAACCAAATTGTGAACATAAAACAGAAAATAATTTTGTATACAGGTCTTAAACCCCCCTCAATCAGTATTAATCAGGCCTATTTAAAGTGAACAAGTACAGTGGATTAAATGAGGTTAGAGATGATTAGGCATCATCTGCATGTTCATACCATGGAGAAATCTCCCACGTTTGTTTGTATGTTTTGATCGTGAATCATGGCCGATGGCGAGGTGCCATAACGGTATGACGAAGGAATCATGAGGCGTCGAATCAGTGCGTCAGTGATGAAACCGATTTTCCCTCCGTGCCTTGTGCAACGCTAATTAAAAGGAAAAAACCAGCTAATTAAGTCTATTTTGAATAGCACGAAGTAGCTGAAAAGCCGGCTTTCACCCCAGGTCGAACGGGATTTTATCTTGGAGGTAAATTCCCAAGTTGTGCATAATAAAGTCTTGTGGATATTTGTTTTGTCAAAAATCCGGAATGTTTAGTGGACAATGTGCCAATTTCTACAGCTACAATCTTAGCCTAGGTTTTCTATATTATCTATATATCTTTCCCTCTCATTTTCTCTTACACAAGCTTTCGGTTATTCGCTTTCGCAATTTAAAAACGGCTGGCTCAATGTGAATAACGTGTATGCAGATAGGTTGCTATCGTGTTACGAAATGTGTTTTTTTTCTTTTTCCGTTGGATATTTTTATTGGGTGTAAATTGGGCGTTATTACATTTCACTTTCACGCTCCCGTATGGCATTTGCGTGTAGGCTGTCGCCCTGGACGAGTGGCGTCTCTCGCACAAGGTGTCCTTCCCTCGGGCCCTTCGTGACATAAGGGAGACTTGCAAAAGGCAAAAATACCACACACAAAAAATCACTCACGTCCAGACCAAAAAAAAACTCTCCTTCAATCTAGAAATCTCCTTTTCCTCCAAGGACGATGACTGGTCCAAAAGTGGATTTTGGCTAAAAGGTCAAGGCTCAACCTGAGCGGATAACAAAAAAACAAACAATACCTGCTCGTAAATGATGCTGCACCCTTAACGAAAATCATCAGAGAATCGTGAAGAAACCAAACAAAAATAAAAGTGACGACCGAGTTGGAACGTCGGACCTGAGTAGGCGGACATGTACTCAATGTTTATTTTCACCCCATGATAAAAAAACCTAGTGCGTACAACAACCTTTGTTAATAAATTTTAAAAAACAGCACCCTGTACATCCTTAAATCCATCCCACACAAGATTTAAGCCGTATAAACCGAGCCATCTTTTCTTCCATGGAGGCGGAAACTAAAAGTTTAACACAACAACAAAAGCCCATCTCTTGTACAATTCTCTTTTATATAAAAAGCTAAATATTCAAAATTTTCAGTGAATTTTATCATTTTTAAAATGGGAATGGTCTAACGTTCCTCTTGCTCTGATCATGAACCGGTCTGTGAATCACAGCATTGAACCGACTCGTTTATTACCTTCGACTGGAAAGGTTTATATTTTTATTAGCAAACCTTTTCGCTCAGCATTTTAGTTAGACGAGAAACCCGAGCTTGTTGAATTTTCAATTTTAACGATCTGTAAATAAACTTTACGTCCATCGAATACGTTGTCTGGTGAAAATTTGAGTTCACCATAGCGTTGTAAAAAGTGGACGTGGTTGAATTGTTAACTATGTCGAAGTAGGCGTGGCCTATAATCACGTGATGACAGAAATAGTAAAATTAATTGACTAATTATATCATAAAGTGGGCGTTGTTCTATTATGTCAAATGGGCGTGGCTAATCCAGTGTCTTGGTCTCCCTAATGAGTAATGACGACAAAGTTGTTGTTCAATTATATCAAATGGGCGTGGCTTATCCAGTGTCCTGGTCTCCTTAATGAGTAATGACGTTAAAGTTGGTATTGTTCAATTATATCAAATGGGCGTGGCTAATCCAGTGTCTTGGTCTCCCTAATGAGTAATGACGCCAGAGTTGGTGTTGTTCAATTATATCAAATGGGCGTGGCTTATCCAGTGTCTTTGTCTCCCTAATGAGTAATGACGTCAAAGTTGGTGTTGTTCATCTATATCAAATGGGCGTGGCTTATCCAGTGTCTTTGTCTCCCTAATGAGTAATGACGTCAAAGTTGGTGTTGTTCATTTATATCAAATGGGCGTGGCTAATCCAGTGTCTTGGTCTCCCTAATGAGTAATGACGTCAAAGTTAGTGTGGCTAAAATGGTCGGACCATTGTTCAATTACGTCTGAGTGGTCTTGGCGAAATCAGTTGGTTTATTGACATGTGCCGTCAAAGTGGACGTGTCTAAACCGTATTATCTACATCATAGTACTACATGGAATGGAAATAAAGCCAAGTTGGTTGACAATGGCATCAACATGAGGGTGGCTAAGTTGGATCTGATGACAGCGAATTGACCATGTTGGTTGGAGCATAGAATAATGATATAATTACCGTTTGGTCAAATGTCAAATGGCTTCATTTGTGAAAACTGTACAACTTATGTTCGTTAACACCCAGAAATATTGGTTGGCTAATTACTATACAAATATGGAACAATTTGGTGTGGCTAAGTCCGTTGAACTATCGTTAAATGGTGTTGATGGGTGTGCCGTTAAATTTTTGATCAAATTTTATGAAATTTGGCACGCCTATGTTTATTGGTCTTTTTCAAACGACGTCAGAGAATCGTGATTAAGTTGGTCCGTCTTCAGTCAAATGACTTCAAATAGGACTTGGCGAATTTGATTGGAATTCAATGACGACAAAGTAGGCGTGGCTAAGTTAGAGCATTGTACATGATATCTAAGTGGGCGTGGCTAAACCGGTTAGTCAATAGTCTAATGACATTTTTTAATTTATACAACGCTTTTGTTCATTAATGAATAATTCATCTAGTGAAATAATCCAAGAGGCAATTTCCTCAGTTCCTTCCCAGAAATGGTAGTTATGACTTTTTTGTTTATTTTATAGATTCTTCAAACGAGAACCTGAGCCCGCAGTTGCAGACGAGCCTGATCGAACGCCTCGGCCTCGGCGACGGGGAAATTAACCTGAAAGACACGATGCGGCTGCGACAAAGAGCTCCCAGGAAGCCGCTGAAGAAGGTGATGGAGGGGCCGAAGAGGTCGCAGAGCCCAGGACGTCCGAGAGAACCGCCTCCACCTCCTCCGCCTCCTCCTCCACCGCCGCCTCCGCCTCCTCCACCCCGGCACATATTCCCGTTCACCAAAGAGCAGATAGAAAAGCTGAACCACAACCGTCCCCCGGGTTTCATACCGACCAAAATACTTACACTCGAGGATCCACTCTATGAAAACGAAGAACCGGAGGTCGAAGAGCCGGCAGTCAAAGAAGTGGACGAAAAAGTGGAAAACAAGGCCAGCGAAATATTACCAGTCATGGAACTAGATTTAACCAAAGATGTAACTATTTATTTTATACACATTAATATAAAAGGACTCATTGATTTTTTCTTTTTCAAGGTCGGGGATACAAAGGTGAAACTAACGATACCAGCTGAAGACGACTACAAGGAAAACAAGACCGTCGTCTCTGTCGATCCTCCCAACGATTACACCAACATTTCAGTCACGACGGTGAACATATGTACGTATTTTGAAACTTTTAGCCGAAACATGAGACCTACTCTGGTCTGTTTTTGATTGAACGATGACCTAGAACGAACAATCCATCAAATATATTTTAAACATTGACTAATTGGGCCGGCGGTTCGAATTTTCTCCTTATGAGGTGGTGGGAAGGTACAAAGGTCATTGGATCATCCGTCAGACCCAAATTGGATTTGTGCGGTTTTTCACAGAACTTTCCCAAGACCACGCGTTTTATTTCAGCCGGTGTCATTAGGACGGGTCAGATTTCTCACATTCCCGCTCTGAGCCGTCCTATATTTCGTACCGGGTGTTTGTCTGTTCACATGTTTATTAAGAATTGATTCTGTTTTATTAACAGTTTTGCTTTTTTGATTGATTTCTTGATATGTAAAGTATTGATTTTGCTTATAATTTTATCGTTTTGTGTCAGGCGAGCCGATAATATCGTCCGGCAACAAGGTGACGATCAACATCAACGGCTGCGAGCCGGAGTACGTCAGCCAGGTGATAGTCGTCTCTGGAGCCGAAGAGACGAAGAAGAAGGCGGAGAAAGAGATGGAGGAGTTGGTCAGGAGCAACGTCGACCCGGTCGAAGCGGCCAGGAACAACCTCATCCCCCACATCTGCGGAAAAGACGGGAATGAAACGTCCGACGAGTCCTCGGACTCCTACAAGTCCGCCCTGGACTCCTTCCCGCCGTCCGAAGGCTCAGGTGGCTACGCCGAGAAGGACAAGATGGTGGACGAGGTGGAAGTGCGACTGGGAGTAGACTTCGGGACGGATTCGGACGAGTCCCACTACGAAACTATTAAGGACCCGATTTACGAGGAGATCTCTGACGAGCCGCCTCCACTCCCGACTTCGCCGCCGCCGCCCCTCTCCGACCGCATCCCGGACATTCTCATACCGGCCAGGTCGATATTCGAGGGGGCGACCAAATACGACATACTCAGCTACCTGGTCGGGGCGAAGAGACGGGGGATCGTGGAGGAGTGCGACAGTCCGGGACATTCGCGGATAAGCTCCCTCGATTTGAGCTCGGGGATGAGCCATCTCAGCGCGACGAGCGATTCGAGCGAGGACTCGTGCCTCGTCGTCCTACCCCCGGTGGACGTCTCGCCGATTGACGACAAGGTATCGACATCCCACCTTGTCCCCTTTCTCAATTTCGTTTCAACCGATATCCTTTCAGATCCGGAGGAGCTCGGCCGAAGTGGAGAGGAACGACTCCGGGGTCGGATCAGAGACCAGCAGGAGCAGGTGGCAGCATCTCAGCGGGCTTAGGGAAGACGCCCAGCACACCTGCGAAGACTGCGATCAACTGGTGGAAACGCAAGTTACCGAAAGGTCCGTACAACGCCCAAATCCCTCAACCATCTATTACTATTTGTTTTTATTTACAGCGGGGTGATGTTCGCACCTCTGGTCTGTCGAAAGTGCTCCAAGAGGAGGTCGGAGAGAAGAGAGATAATAACCGAGATCGTCGAAACTGAAGAGAAGTACGGTCGAGACCTGAGGATAATCCTGGAAGAGTTCTACAGGCCGATGCAGGTGGCCGGACTCCTGTCTCAGGACCAGCTCTCGGCCGTGTTCCTCAACACCCAGGAGCTGCTCGACCACTGTTCCGTCCTCGCCGAGAAACTCCGCGACGCCCTGGAAATCGCCGTCGAACAAGGCGACGAAGACCTTCTTACCGTGAACGTCGGCGCGCTTTTCCTCGAGGCTTCTCCCATGCTCCACGCCTTCGAAAGCTACTGCACTCGTCAGGTCCGCGTCGAATTATTTTATTTTATACAAATCTTCCACAAAATTTAATTTTTTTGTCAATTCTAGGGTACCGCTTCGATGCTCCTTACGAATCTTGAAAAAGAAAAGGAGCTCCTGAGGATATTCCTGAGAGTGTCGCAAATGGAAAATAGCGTCTTGAGACGGATGAACCTCAACTCCTTTCTCATGGTAAATTATTCCTAATTCAAATCAAATCGATGGAACCTTTAATTGAATAATTATTATCCATTCTTTTGCAGGTGCCTGTTCAGAGGATTACAAAGTATCCTCTTCTGCTCTCAAGGCTATACAAAGTGACTCCAGCCCATATAGTAGGAAAGGAAGCGATCAAAGAAGCCCAGCACAACATCGAACTTCACCTGGAACACATCAACTATGTGGGTCTTTTATTGATAACAACAAATTATTTCTTTAAAAAAAATATTACCTTGATAAGAAAAAAACAATCTTTTGAAGTCTTTTTTTACAGATACAGAGACTAGCGTTTTTAAATTTACAGACCTAGGAGAACCTGATGTCCAATCACTATTATTACAAACGAAGCAAAGCTTTTTTTTACATATATTTATTGAATTTATTATTTACTGTTATGTGAGTTAAGACAGACACGGGCCGACTATGACACATTTTTAACACTTTATTGTTTCACTTTTAATTATTTGCCCGTTTTTTCATTTTATCCTAGCTCGCCAAGGATATCAGTTCAAACAAGCTGTGGAGGAGGATATCCGTCACCAACGGCCGGAGGTACAGCTCGGAGATGGACATGGTCAACATTAAACTGAGAAAGGTGTGTTAAAAAGTCGATCAAATATTGAAGAATATCGGTTAAGCATCGTGGGGCGATATATTTGACAATATCGATTATCGAGATACTGTATACTGAAATCAAAGTTTAGGCCGGCTATAGCGTTACACAATATATACTGAAATATCGAAACTTGATCGATATAAAAAAGCAACGATTATGGGGACGTACAAGATATTGTTCGATTATCTAAGCTGAGCTATATCGATACTGGTTATATATTGTCAATCCGGTATTCGATTTATATCATCATTATCGATTCTCAATTTTGGCATTATCGTTAATATAATCTTAGGTCAGATATATCGATAGTGGATATATATAGATAATATCGATACATGATATATATCAAAATATCGAAAAATGAAAAATACGAAAAACATCAATTATCATATGGTAATTATCGATTATCTAAGCTTAGTTCGGCTATATCGATAATCAATATCTGTAGAAATATCGATACTTGAACGAAACGAAAACATCGATTACCGGGACTTATACTGACATTGTTCGATTATCAATGCACAATATCGATATTGGTTATATGTGAGAATATCAATATTGCCCAAGATGAAAAACTTATGAAGGAATTTATACTGACATTTTTCGATAATCAACCTTAGCTATATCGATACTGGTTATACAATGATAACATCGAAACTCAATATACAAATTAAAATTTCGAAACTTAAAAAATACAGACGTCGATTGTCGGGACTTAATACTGACATTATTCGATAGCCTATACTTAGCTGAATCGATACGAAAAACGTAGATTATCAGAACTTATACTGACATTGTTCAATAATTAAGCTTATCTTACTGCTTATATATTGAGAATATCGATATTCAATATATATATTCAAATAACGATACTTAATCGATACAAAAACATCGCTTATTGGGACGTATATTGACATTGTTCGATCCGCTGTATAGATACTGGTTATATATTGATAATTTCGATACTTAGTACGCATATTAAATGTCGATACTTGAAAAATATAAAAACGTCGATTGTCGGGACTTAATACTGGCATCGTTCGATAATCAAGCTTATCGTAGCTATATATACTGGTTATATGTTGAGAATATCGATATTCAATATATATATTCAAATAACGATACTTAATCGATACAAAAACATCGCTTATTGGGACGTATATTGACATTGTTCGATCATCTAAGCACAGCTCCGCTGTATAGATACTGGTTATATATTGATAAATCGATACTCAGTGTACATATTAAAATATCGATTCTTGAAAAATATAAAGACGTCGATTGTCGGGACTTAATACTGACATCGTTCGATAATCAAGCTTATCGTAGCTATATCTATAGAAGTTATATGTTGAGAATATCGATATTCAATGTTCATTGAAATATCAATATTTGATTGATTCGAAAACATCGATCATCGGGACGTATATTGACGTTGTTCGATCATCTAAGCACAGCCCCGCTATGGTTATATATACACTATACTGGCTATATATTGAGAATATCGATACTCAATATACATCTTAAAATATCGATACTTGAAAAATACAAAAACGTCGATTATCGGGACTTAATACTGACATCGTTTGATTGTCAAGCTTAGCGTAGCCTATATCTATACTGGTTATATACTGTTAATATCGATATTCAATATATATGAAATATCAATACTTGATCCATTCAAAAACATCGATTATCGGAACGTATATTGACATTGTTCGATCATCTAAGCACAGTTCCGCTGTATAGATACTCGTAATGTATTGATAATATCGATACTCAATATACATATTAAAATATCGATCCTGGAAAAATACAAAGACGTCGATTATCGGGACTTATACTGACATTGTTCGATAATCATGCTTAGCATATCCATACAACCAAGTTGATTACCTAATTGTAAGCCTAATCGTTTATATTTTGACATCGAATATCCATATTTTTTTTAAATCGATACGGGATGTATGAATATACGCGTATATTGATAATATTGATTATTGAGAGTAGACTGTCAGTATTGATAATGTTAACTTAGGCAGGCTATATCTATTCTTTTTATACACTAACAACTTGTATCCTTTTTTAAAGAAAGATAGTTCCTACTCACAGTAAGTTGTTTTCCAACGTTCCGGATTTCGAGCCCTTAGCTCATCATCAGCTTGAAGGAGTTCTACAACTACGTCTCTCGACATGAATTGCAAAAGTGTGCCAATTGCAATCCATATCGAGAGACGTGGTTGTAGAAATCCTTCAACCTGATGATGAGCTAAGGGCTCGAAATCCGGATTGTTGGAAAACATCTTACTGTGAGTAGGAACTATCTTTTTTTTAAAAAAGGATTGAACACCGCACTCACTCCATCATTCATCATTTCTACTAACAACTTCTAGTTATATTGTCAGTATTCGATATCGACATATTGTTATTTAACGTCATCTTTTGTACCTGGGTATCTTTATTCATGTTTTTTAAGGGATAAATAGAGCTTGTTTATTTTATGAGGCAACTAATGGACCAATTTGATTGTTTAGATCGCTGTTGACGTTTTGGAGTGGAATCACGACGAGGTGAGATTCGCTATGGAAGGAAAACTGCTTTTCACACAGCCGACGGAAGGGAACTGGAGGAAAAGAGCGACGATCAAACTTTCTCCTGTGAACGCGGTCCTCGTCACTCTGGGAAAAGTACTAAAATCTCTTAAGTTATCTTGGGAATTTGTTAATTTATTTGTTTTTTCCAGCCGAACGACGAGTACCAGCCGGACAGTGAGAAAGCTCTGGTGTTCCCGAGGCAGAACGGGATCAGGGAAGCTACTCTGATCATACTCAAAGAAAAAGCCGGGCGATACACCCTGCTCAGGGTATGCTTTTATATAAAAATTATTGTTTGTTTATTAATTCATTTCGAACCCCCAGGAGCCGCTGTTTCTCGACAAATGTATCATATGCACTGAAGTAGACATGGAGGACTTTTTCGAAGTACAGGAACTGCCGACGAAAGACACATATTTATTTAAAGTAACGGAATAAAACAATAATATTTTGTGTTTTCTCGCTCATTAATTGTTGGAATGATTAATTGTTAAATTTATTTTACGACAGGCCGAGGATGGCGAGTCGACCAGGCGGTGGTACAGGCAGATGCAGTACCACGCCCAGGGTCTTGGATCGTGGAGGAAAAGGAGGAAAGCCCTCGCTAACATAATGATCAACGGTATGCAAGTCAGGACTTGACCCTCGACGAAGACGAAAAACTCTGCTGTGATAATATTGAACAAAATATATAAAAAGGAGACAAAACACGTTGTAAATGGGAAAGTTCTGTACCTTGTAACAACGAAATTAATATTTTTTACAAAAGAAATAATATAAACTTCGATATATATATTGTAAATAAATTTCTATATATTCTATTATATATTATATATAATATTTTCAAAATTATATGATAAATTAACGAGAAAAAATTATAAATATTATTCATACGTCTACTTTTATTTTTCCCTTTTTTTCATTAATGCAAATACAACACACATACTGTCGATTGAGAATATACATTAAAAATATATATATATACATACACACACATATATACATGTATGTATATGTATATGTATCTGTATGTATCTATATGTGTGTGTGTATATATATATAAATAAATAAATTTTTAAAACGTGAGGTGAAAGAAATGTGAAGTGTTTTTCGCATCAATTACTTGACGTTAGCATAGATTATCGAACAATATCAGCATAATTCCCGATAATCGAGTTTTTCGTATCAATATAGTGACGTAAGCATAGATTATCGAACAATATCAGCATAATTCCCGATAATCGATGTTTTTCGTATCAACATAGTGACGTAAGCATAGATTATCGAACAATATCAGCATAAGTCCCGATAATCGATGTTTTTCGCATCAATACTTGACGTAAGCATAGATTATCGAACAATATCAGCATAAGTCCCGATAATCGATGTTTTTCGCATCAATACTTTACGTAAGCATAGATTATCGAACAAAATCAGCATAATTCCCGATAATCGATGTTTTTCGTATCAATATAGTGACGTAAGCATAGATTATCGAACAATATCAGCATAAGTCCCGATAATCGATGTTTTTCGCATCAATACTTGACGTAAGCATAGATTATCGAACAAAATCAGCATAATTCCCGATAATCGATGTTTTTCGTATCAATATAGTGACGTAAGCATAGATTATCGAACAATATCAGTATAAGTCCCGATAATCGATGTTTTTCGCATCAATATAGTGACGTAAGCATAGATTATCGAACAATATCAGCATAAGTCCCGATAATCGATGTTTTTCGCATCAATATAGTGACGTAAGCATAGATTATCGAACAAAATCAGCATAATTCCCGATAATCGATGTTTTTCGCATCAATATAGTGACGTAAGCATAGATTATCGAACAATATCAGCATAAGTCCCGATAATCGATGTTTTTCGCATCAATACTTGACGTAAGCATAGATTATCGAACAATATCAGCATAAGTCGCGATAATCGACGTTTTCGTATCATATAGTGACGTAAGCATAGATTATCGAACAATGACAGCATAAGTCCCGATAATCGATGTTTTTCGTATCAATATAGCCGACGTAAGCATAGATTATCGAACAATACAGGTGTAAGTGCCTATAATCGAGGTTTTTCTTATTGATTAAGTACCGATATTGTAATATATTTATACAACCAGTTTAGATTTAGACGTGTAATCAAACAATGTCAGTATAAGTCCCGATAATCTATGTTTTTCCTATGAATTCAGAAGAGGAGACAAATTTTTAAAATCATTCAAATTTTCTACGTGTCATTTCTGGTGTACTATCGGTTTTTTTCCCCTAAGGCAGGCCTCCAAAAAAATATAAAAAATGGTAGTGCTCGTACATTTTGTATAATTAATTAAATTATTTAATAACAATTTATAATTAACCATGTAAAACGAAGTGCCAACGGTCTTTTAAAAATTGTTTTTTTTGGAATGGAAAGCCCTGTAAATAGTAAAAATGTAACTATTAACATTTATAAGGTTTACAAAGCTCGATGTAATATACAATTAATTTAATAAAACATTTTCTACTTCTACTGGCACTTATTTAATTGATAACCAGTAAACAAATGTAAAGCCTAAAAAGATTTTAGAAAAGCACGTATTTTTTTATAAATATAAATTTTGAACCTAGTATTTCGTATGTTTATATCTGTATTGTATTTTTGCCAATCCCAATAATGTTTTACAATTCACCCAGGCCCTGAAGATGACCCGAATAAAGGTCGAAACGTCGGCGAAAAAATGAAAAAGCTGTTTTTCCTAAAATACTCCTGACAACTACAAATTTTTGAAAAAAGGACAATAAAAAACACGAGGTATTTGGAAAATTGAAAAAAAATGTTATTTTTTATTGACATACCCCGATATTTTGCAATATATAATATACGTTTATATTTTTTATAAAAATTTTACAAATTAAAATAAATTATACATATGTTATGATAACAATTATTACAGTTATAATAATAAATAAATAAATTTGTAAACAAAAAGAAATTTTAAAAAATCTATATAATATTATATAAACAAATTTGTAGATTTGAAAAATCCCTAAAATTAAACTACTGATGTTAAAAAGACAATTATAAAAAATTTTAAAAATAAAATAACGAAAATATAAAAATGTACAAGGCTCACAATAGTGACAGAGTAGGAAACATTGTCCGAAAGGTCCAGGATGAACTGAACAATCTCATCTGATGGAGACGGGGAGGTCAGAACTTGAAAAGATTCAGTGATAACTTGTCATCAACTAAAAACAGAGTAAAGACACTTAACATCTAGAATAAACAACAAATTATATTATGTTGAAATACTAAAGAAGAGTCATCTTACTCGTGTTACCCAACAATTCACCTTCAGAGTACTCACGTTATGTGGAAGCGAGCCGAGCGGCAGATGCGAGTGAGTGCTTGAACCGGTCGGGCAGACGTGACAGTTCGACGACAGCGTCGACCATTTTCTGTACGGCTTTGACGCTCGGGAACTGAACCGCGGCTGACTTGGTCTTGTTAACAAGCCCCGAAAGGAACTCACTCATGAACCGGTTGCAGGTGTTTGCCTCGTCCTTCAGTTCTGAGCTCTCCAGGGAACGTTCGATCGACTCGCCGAGCAGAAGTAGGTGCGAAGCTTCCATGACAACAGCCTTGCACTGTGCCAGGAACACCTTCGGCGGTTGATTCTGTGTCACAGTTGTTAAAAATTCATCTATAGCCTGAGCCAGGCGGTTCGCCTGCGTCCAATAAAAACCCGTGTACAACTCCACAACCTATAATTTCAACCGTATTACTTCAATATTAAAAATTGGGAATTAAAATTACTTTTTTATCTTCTGTTGATAAAATGTGATTTTCTTCTTTTGTCTCGACCTCATCGGATTCTTTCAAGGGTAGGGGATCGTCCTGATGCGGCATGGTGTTCATGTACTGGACGTCTTCTGGAGATGTCGGCTGGCATGTTGGTGTATTTCTTTTGAAAAGCAAGGTCGAGTTGCCCTGGATGAAAGAGGCGATCGCTCGTATGTCGTCGATGAGAGATGCAACGCACTGGACAAGATTGTCGAGCATGTCTGGATTGCGCGTTTCTTGCTCTTCGACCGCAAGGGCGTTAACGTTCCATCCGACAGATTCAAGCTGCTTAGTGCTCTCTTGTATCTGAAGTTCTGCTTTTGACAAAGCAATTACCAATGGGCCCAACTTCGTTCCAAGTCCTGTCAAATTAAAATATTTTTAAAAAAAAATTGATTTGTAAAGTAAAATTCCTTCTTGAGTTATGTGGGGGGACCTAGTTTTCAATCATTTTGGTTTACTTATCATTGTTCTTACGGCTTCTTGCCATCTTCAGAGAGGTAAGGACATTTAACATTTGATTAATTCTGACCCTTTCCTTTTATATTGGTTCCTAAACAAGGCCAGAGGGAAGAAAAAATCATTTCTTGACACCTGACAGTCAACGGCTTTCTTAGGTGTGTTGGTCATGACCCCTGGCTACCTGTGAAACACCTCGTAATTCCTAGGAGCTTCCATTACGCAGCTTGTCCTATTGGCAATGGCCCTTCGATGTAGGAGCACAAAAGCCCAAATGGTTAATGCGATTCAAAATTTATGCCCTAACTGAGTCCTGTTCACAATTTACAACCCCCCCCAAAAAAAAAAAAAATAACGCAACATATTTTTTTATTATTTATTGGGGCTATCTGCTTCTGTTTCGACACCCTCCAAGTTTTCGAAACCAATTCTTTGTTGGTGTCTGATTAACAGCAAAAAAAAATTGACAAATTTCCTTATGTAAGATACAACCCCAGTGAAGATGATGAAATGTAGAAACGTATATGACTCTAAAAACAGTGATAGCCATACAAAAATAATTGAATATAACCAAATTACGAGATTTGACTTTATTTTTACCTGATTCTTGATGTTTGGCGAGAACAGAACGAGAAAAGATGGTCAAGTCGTGGAGCGAAGAGTTTAATTTTGATACATAGCTTTTTATTTCAATGAGCCTAGGCTCCAGTTTGGCCCTCGTCCTCCATCCGACAGTTGTGAGGGCAAGGATGCGAGAAATCGAACCTGTTATGTCGCTCTCCAACCTGCCGAGCCATTCCAACGCTGATGTCATGTCGAAGCCCATCTCGACGCCTCTTGGAACATCATAAACAATCTGTGGTACGACCGTGCGGCTCGGACGTGGCACATCATAATCCTGTTGAATGAGCGATGACCTGTTTGAATCCGTTGTTAAAGAGCTAATTGAAGAGCTCGGTGTCAAACTGCCTGTGCCCACAACCGGCTTTGGAACATCATAACTCTCCTCAGTTACTTAACAAACAAAACGATTATTCTACTATAGAAAATAATTAATTAAAAAATGTATTTAATTACAAGGTTGAGCAGGGATCGGCTGACTAGGGGGAACATCGTACTGCTCCTGTTGTAAGACAGTCGGCTGTGGCATGTCGTAAACATAACCCTGCTCACCGGCTTTCTGCGCCCGGTGCCAGCTTTTCACCTTGAGATCACGGTGCAACGACTGCTCCGCATCGGACAAGAGGCGCAGACGGTTTTTCGGGCAAATGCCCTGCCGGCCCTTGTGCATGCAGACCCACCATCCATCATGGCCGTGCGTGTCTTGCTCGATGACTATGAGTATGTCGTCGGCCTTGAACGACAGCTCATCAGGACTGTCGGCTATATTGTCATACAACGCTGTACAAAGCTGAAAAAACAAAGTTTTTCTTTTTACAAAAACTAATCAGATTATCATGATCGTTTTCATAATTGTCTTTATCAATATCGATAAGGTTTGTTGAGAACACGTACGGTCTCGAATATAATCATATCATCATGATCGTTTTCATGATTGTCTTTTATCAATATCGATAAGGTTTGTTGAGAACACATACGGTCTCGAATACAATTCAACAAGCTCCCATACGTCTATTAAGTTTAAAACAACAACCCTAAACAATAATAAACTTTTTTTTATTTAAATAATTGTATCATTTTATTGTTGAAGATGAAATTCGACATCTCACACACCTGGAAGTTCACGACTGGATCCGCCTGAGGCATTTTTCACTTAAAAAGCTCTTCGCTGGTATCAACGCTGACAATTCACGACCTTTTTAAAGCAATAATTTGTATTTTAAACTGATAAAAAATTCGTTTTGAAAGGAAAAACGCTAGTCTTTTGGGTGTACTGTCGACTCTTCGTTGACAGAAGGTTATCCTAGTGTTACCCTTATCAGAAATCTGACAGATAAATAATTAACACATAATTAATTTTATTTCACGGCTTATATTTTAATGTTTTTTCCAAAAGTAAAAAAAAAATTTTTGTGTGTGTAAAAAATAAATGCGACAAACCATATTGATTTTATAATTGACTAGATTGTAAAAGCTTGTCATTCGAAGAGGTTACACACCTGTTAACAAATATTTTATTTCTCATTGAACAAGAAGGAAATAAAGAAAAAAGGAAAGATAAATAAATAAAACTTAATAAATTTGTTTAATTGATAAATAAAAGTTATTTAAAATAACTGAATTATTTAAATCTGTAACCAAAACAAAAAATTACACACCATAAAAATAAAATAGGATTTATTTTAATGAACATGCCAGCTTAAAATGTACTGCTTTTTATTATTTACTACTATCCAGTTTTTTATTTTTTTACGAGGGTGTCAACCCTTGGGGTGCTAGTTTTTTAAAGAAAAAGAAAAAAAACATTAAGTTGGGTTGAACTTCACAGCCACTGGATTAGGCTTTATCTTTCAGTGATGAGCGCCATGTCAACACCTTGTTGCGGCTACCGACACCCCTTTTGCCTAGTTTTAGCTACAAAATGATTATAATTTAACTTCAGTCCATATAAAAGGCAAATAAACGGAACAAGATAAATTAGATGAACTCTGAGTAATTTATTACATTTTTACAAAGGTCGATATTTATATGTGTTAAATCTAATTTACCTGAGGTGAGACTCCGTCCTGGTACTCACTTCCTGCTAGTGTTGAAACATGATCTTTGATACGCATTGATGCATTCACAATATACTTTATTTAGCACGAGGAATAAATTAATGCAACGAATGTTTACTTACATTCATATTATTAGACGTGCATGCCAGGGGGTCTATGATTTTTCAATAAAATAACAAAAACTGTCTGAAACAGACGGTAAAATTATTTTCAAACTTTGCACTTACTCGTAATCTCCTTCTAGCAAGCCTGAATATTTTTTTAAAAAATTTTCTCCCATTTATTCTCTCGCTTGGTCCAATTTGTCAAATCCGTCTGTTTCTTCGGTCGAATGAAATCTTGGGGGAATTGAAAAAAGGGTGGTAATTAAATTAGATCATCATTATTTTCATTTATTTGGATAAGCATTATCACATTAGTTGAAGTAAGAATTTTGATCGAATCAAAAAAAATTTTTTTTGGTAATTATATACATACTGTACATCGGGGAGCCCACTGGTTTTGTTAACTTTTTTTTTTTTTTGAGGTGGTAAACCCCAAACTTTATTAGTTTTTATCTAAAAATTAAACCTTTCTTAACAGTTTGTCTAATTTCATTGATAGTTTTTAAGATGTATATAAGATTCGACACCCTGGGTTAAAAAAGAAAGGATGTAAGATTCAAAATCTGGTTGTCAGAGAATTTTTTTTTCTTTCTCTATGAAATGAAAATTTAAGAACCAACCATGCGCCGAGTCTTCGGTGAAATACGATGAAATTACATCTGAGGTAAGAAGACTCAAATGAATAACAACAGAAAAAGTAAATAAATAAAGAAAGATTGCAACTGTCGCCAGAAATATTTTTTGACAAATAAAAAACCACTGTCGATGCATTATGAAATAAAACTTTTAAAAAGTTGGTACAAAAGACAATAATATGAAAGGTTTACTTAAAGAAGGGATTTTTTTTTAAACCACATCCTTTAAAAAAAATGGTTTTCAGTGAGAATTTTTCTTTTTTATTTACACAATTTCGCTTTTTTTTTATTTTTTCTTATTAACAGTTAAGCACCCTAAAATAAAAACAATACTATTCCTTAATAGTAAACATTAAAATAGACTAAATAAAAAAATAACAGTCATAAATCGGTTATAGTTTACAACCTTTTCATCATGCTCAGTGCTTGTTCTGAAGCGACAACAATTAAGAATGCACTCACACACTGACAAAAATTTTACATTTATTTACACGCTAACTGACTACCACTATTATTGTCAAATGTTCACAAAGAGTCCTTTTTTTTTCTTTTTTGTTTTTTTTTAAATCCTCAACCATGTCGTCATTCGCACATTGGGAACATCGAAGCGTTGGATTTTTAAGTAGGTCGATCTTTGGATAATGATTTGGCCCACAACTCTCTTCTCTGTTCCTCGTAATCAATTTTAAATTAGTGCACTTGATTTTTTTTTTTTTTTTTTAAATATTTTTTGTCTAAAAAGGTCTGAAAAGGGCCTGGGCGGGGACAGCTCTTTATTTTTCGTGGTATAATTTTAACAAGGGAGGATCACAGCTATCGAGGCGTTACTTATCTGTTGATGCCGAGTGTATTCTGAGGCTGCAGCCCGTTCATTTGGCCGGATTGGACTACGACACCACCCTGGACTTGCATTGTTTGCTTTGGTGATGTCGAGTACACTGAAAATGACACATAAAAATATCAATAAAAATAAAACTATCTAATCGTAAAAGGTTCGATTTGTGAATTTATTATTATTACCTGTATGGGCTGTTTTGTCGGATGTCGACATCCTAGAAAACGCCATTAAAGCATCGGGGAAATTAGGAGGTGTCGCTGGTGTGTTGCAAGGTGTGCATATCTGAAAGAACAAAAAAGACAAAGTTAATCAAAGAATATTTCTAACTCCTGTATAATATTAGATACAAAAGAAAATCTAAAATTTCATGAAAAAAAAAATTTTTCAAAAAAGTGTGTGCACAATAATAAAATATATATCCTATGAAGATGGCTATTTTATGAAGGAAGACGAAATGTCTGGAATAAAATGTAAAATATAAAAAAAAAGCTTTCTTTCTTTCCTGACCCCCTTTAACCTTTATGGGACTCGTGACGAGTTATCTCGTTCAGGCTTGGCCCAATGACGAGTTGTCTTTTTTTTTTTTTTTTTTTTTTTTTTTCAGTTTATGAGCTGTAGCTGGACACTCATGACATTACTAGGTTGTATCCAATGTATAGGAGATACATCAGTAGTAACGGACGCCTACCACACCCTTCCTCATCATCAGTGAACCATTCTTTTCTCCCCCTTCTGTTCAAAATCTGGCCTCTTTCTCAAAACTTTTCCAAAATTGCAACACAATCGTTTTTCTGGATTCAGCCATAATATTTCTGTCTCATTGGAAATGTCCTACTTTTGCCCCTGCCCTTCCCAACCCTCTACCTTTCACAACAATCTACGCAGAATATTTTTTTTTGTCCTTATTTATATTTATTTTATTATTTCAAATCTGCCTTGTGTGTATGTTCATAAATGTGCAGAGTTGAGCTAAATAAAATAGTAAATTCAATGAAAATTTCAGGTACTTGTAAACAATTTTTTCTCTGTATCGTTCCAATTTTAGTATATGTACCGCCGAAGCGAGTACATCCTTACAATTAATTATTAATTATAATAATCATGGCTTTTTGCCTGAGCAAATAAGGAAAATTATTCAAACTCTAGTCAAACAGAATGTTAATGTACAACTAGGCTGGGTAAAGGCTCATTGCGGAATAGAGGGAAATGAAGAAGCTGACAGACTGACCAAATTAGCATCTACTGACGAGAGTTTGAATTTGGCATACACCGAACTTCCAAAGTCATCAATTATAAATAAACTTTTCGAAGAGAGTCTGGAAAAATGGGAAAATGCTGTACAAATAATGGAAGGCAGACAAGAAATTTCTTTCCCAAGTTGCCGATAGATTCCAGCCACACATCCAACTATCCGCACCACTAACCCACATCTTAACCGAACACGGCCCAAACAACAGCTATTTTTTCCGCTTTCACCTAAGAGAATCTTCATCATGCTCATGCCTGCCTAATTTCCCAGTAGAACAAAGCATTAAACACCTAATATATGAGTGCCCACTAATAGAACCACTGCGTAGAGTTTGGATACGAATAATAAAAATAAAATAAAAAATTTCAATTTTTATTTTTTTCATTGGCCTTATTTCCCAATAATAGCCATAGAATAAGTAACATTGCATTTTTGGAGAAAGGGATGTGTGAAAAAAATACCAGGTCGATGGTGTGAATTGAACCCACGACCACGGTCTACGAACTGAGGGCTGACACGCTGAACACACACTACAGTCCCCCCCCCCCTTCAAACAAATTTAATCATCAATGAATCATTTTGTTCCACTATCAGCATCTTCCATCCAGTTCTCAGGTTTTGAAGCGATGTGATTTCTCCTCTGGAAGGTGAAAATCTGAAGGAAGAATGCCGAGAGAATACGCTCAATAATACAGTGGATAGGGGTTTTCCAACTGAGCTCCAATAATTTCTGATAAGTCTGCTAAGACGCGTGGAGACGACGGTCATCCTGGTAGAAAACCCCTTGCAATTAGCCGATGATGGTTGGTTTTGATCAATTAACTAACTTCAATCACTCTGAATGTAGTTTACAGTAGAATTAATGGCAAAGTCAGGTGGAAGAAGCTTATAAATAAAAAAACCGCAATGTGTAAAGAACGCCAGATAAATAAATTAAAGCAAAAAAAAAATTAAACAGGTTCACACAGAAAAACACACACAGAGATTTTGATCTATTTGACATAGAAATAATGCATTCTTAAAAAATGACACTGATTCTGTCAGGACATGGTATAAAAATATCTTAAGCGATTTAAAATCGTAGGGGACAGTATAAAAAAAGCGTTGTATCAGATAATGCTACATTTCATTCAATGATTCAAGGAAAAAAGGCACCAGCTGCAATATTTAACGTTAGGAGGGAAATTCTTGGTCATCATTTTGTAATTTATTAATTTAGAATTGAAACTACGAAGAGTTCCAACTTCCTAAGAAACCAGCCACACCGGTTCAAAATCTTTGGGACCGTTGGTCAAACTTCCTTTTTCGTATCCAACACAGGCCTTGAAAGGAAGTTGAAACAGACGCCTCTATAAAACCCTGGACGTTATCTTTAGTCCAACACCTTTCATCTCGAACCCTTCCCGAAAATCCTCAATATCGGAAAAGTCCAGAAGCAACGATGGGAATGGAACCCACGGTCGTGGGGTCTACGAATCAAGTCTATGCATGGTATCCAGAAACAGGCTTAGAAACTTATTAAATAAATTAAATATTCACATTCGCTCTGAACAGAGCTGTATGAGTCGTATACAATCAAGTGGAACTCGTTTAAAAATCTAACTCCCCCAAGCCCTGGGACGCAATTTTGACTATGACCTGTACTGTAAGAATATTTAAGTACCATTTTGACCCCAAGCCTTAATAACACCTAATACGCTGAAACAGTGATTGAGAAATATCAAACGTCTAGAATTAATGCCACGTTAGCTCAAGTGGTCAGAACAGCAGTTTGTCGAGCCAAAGGACGTGGCTTCGAATTCCACTTGCGACACTAACTTTTTAAACCGAGACCTTAGATAAATAGAATAATTAATTGAATTAATGATAAGTGTTGATATGAAGGAACATATTTTAACAAAACGGCAAAATGAATCAGGGGACGAACGATAGCAAAGGCCACAAAAATAATTTTTGAGGAAAAAAAAACTTTGCAGTTGTAATAAAAGACTTGTTTGGTTTTCGCCGAGCTCTTAAAAACAAAAGAGATTATTTAATTTGTTTGCAAAGATAATTGTACATTTGGGTGATGGGGGGTTCGCACAAAAGATAAAAAATGTCTTTACGACCTTCTATAGTTTTGTTTTTAATTTATTTTCACCATTTTTCTATTTATTTATAAAATTTTAAATGATCTATTCCATTTTCTTTTACATATTTTAATGTATTACTATTTTTAGCTTGTTTTATAGGGCTTAGACTTTCTTTTTTACTGAAATAAGCTAAAAATATATAAATATATTATACATTTAATATACTAGAGATAATATTTGAACAGTAGCAAATTCTTCTACCGCTCGTTTAAAAAAATAAATGTATATATAAATCTTTTAATTTGTTTACAGAAGTGTTATTATTTTTGGCCGGGCTTCCTAAGGTGCAATTGAACTGTGAAAATATCCTCTTAGTTTTATTTATAGGATTGAGGAAGGAATAGTTTGGCAATGGACGCCGGGCCGGCCTACAATACCGACCTGTCAGGATTATTCTCGTCGAGAGGTAAAACCACATTTGGAAATAGAACGAGACCGAGGTGGACAAACTTGACGGAAAGGAGGCCAAGCGATCGTCAATCGCAAGCCACAATGTATCAAAAAAAAAATTATTATTTTTTTTTAAATCCCTTACAACACCGTGCAGAAATCTTCCAATATTGACTAGATTCGTTCTCTTATCGTTATTTATTTTAATTATGAAAGACCTCAAGATTAAATATAATCAGAAAGCAATCTGGAGTAACTCGGAAGATAAAATTTAGCACAGAATGAATAAGAATAAATTACAACTTAAAATGCAAGAAAATTTCAACATTCCTGATATAAAAAATCAAAAGTAAAAATGCAAAAAAACAACTTTTACATGCATTTTTTTTTTTTTTTTTTTTTTTTTTTTTTTAATTTGAGAGAATAGAAGTAGACAAGTGCTTAACTGCCTGTAAACGTTTATTGATTGTTTCTATTTTGGACCTTAACTTTTACCAAGTATATTAACTTTTTTTTTCAATTATTGGCATAATGTAGAAACTAAATATTGAAACTTATTAGCCCTAAAGTTACGAGATCAGTACGACAGACAGGCCCGATCTCGCTCGAAGCCGATAAATAAGCACAAATATATTGGTTAGAAAAACTAAAGATTTACTAAATGAAAGGGTAGATTCGTAAAGAGATTTCGCCAGTAGGATAATAATCAGTATAAATTCATCAAATCATTAGGAAAAAAATGAATAATTACCTCTGAATCAATTAAAATAAAGGTAGGCCTGTCGCAAATTCCCTCCTCTCTACAAACTTTTTTTAATATAAAAATACAAATTAATAATAAAAAATGCTGTTAATTCAATAAATTCTATCAGGAAAATCAGTTAAAAACACAGATTTTATAGTGTTTTTAAAGATGTCCTCAGGATCACATGAGATTTTTATACCTTGAAAGTTTCGCTGTATAGTTTATAAAGGTTTTTTGATTTTTAACTATCAGATTAGTGAAAATATTGGCCCCAGGTCACTAAGGTCGATCGAAACATTGATTATCTCGATCATTTTATTGACAACTAATTTGGCTATTTTTTTATTTATACGACAAACAGAAATTGATCGAATTTAATTTTAGCTCATGCCAAACAAGAATTAAAAATTGCAGAACTGAAGCCTAAGTCACTGCAGTCTGTTGAACAATGAAATGTGTACGTCAAACTCTGGAATCGATTGGTGACAAAAATCACAATCGGTGATTTTGTCAGACATTTTTATCGGATTTAAGTTGAGTTAAGTAGGGCAACTGACCAAATAAAAAAAGACTATAAATTATTTTATTTGTTGTTCAATCTTAAGAAAAACAGAAAATTGTTATTTTTTCGTGGAACTTAGCTTTTCAATGGACTTCTATGACTTAAACTGTTATATTTTAACATAAAAGCATAACATTTAAGATTAATTAAGTTGGGTGTTATTTAATAAAAAGAAGTTTTGTGGGTAATGTGTATTCTTAAAAC